CTGAAGCAGCAACTAGAAGAAAAATCTAAAACACTCTTCACAGTTTGTTACAATGCTTGCAGTTGGGATGGAGAATCTAAGTGCCCCTTCCCTAGAAGCATTTCAGTGGTAACTGGACAGAATAAAGCGCAGTCTGTGTGCAGGACTCTGCACACCCGCTTTGATAACTGGACAGAATAAAGTGCAGTCTGTGTGCAGGACTCTGCAAACCCGCTTTGCTTGTCTGCCCTGCTTTACTCCTTGCTATTTATTCTCCCGCTAAGCTAAGATGTAACAGCTCTCAAAATTCGTGGTACTCGGCATAGTGTGTTTTCTGTTTCTAGATTTTTCTCTGTTCCTGTCTACAGTGACCTCCCCCGATCTTTCTTGAATCATATAGGTCATGTAGGCAAACTTCATTCCTTGTACGGTGCTGCTGCACTTTGTCCTGTTCAATGGTAACATTTTCATTTCCTTAATTACTTACATTGATTTCTTTTCCTCAGATCTACTTCCTCCATTTACAGGCTGAGCTGGTTGTGCTGGTACACACCTGTAGTTCTATTACTTGGGGACTGAGGCAGGTGGGTTTTTATTTTGAGCTCATTCTGCCTGTAATCCCAATACTTAGAGGCAGAGGTGGACCACCTGTCTGAGTTCTAGAACCGTGTGTTCTATATAGGAGCTTCCAGAACTGCCTGTTTCATGAAAGAAAAAAAGAAAAGACGAAACAGAACTTTTGTGTGTGTGTTTTCAAACTGCATATAAATTGAATATCTTACATGAAATGCTTAGAACCAAAAGTGTTTCATGACATTGAATTTTCTTTGGGCCGCCAGCTCACAAAAAACAATATGGAGACTTATTAATTATAAATGCTCAGCCTATAGCTTAGGCTTGTCCCATTAGCTCTTATAACTTAAATGAACCAATTTCTATTCATCTGTGTTTTGCCTCGTGACTTTTTACTTCTCTTCCATCTTGTACCCCTTTTCCTCTCCATGGCCTCTGGCGTCTCTCCCATGCTTAGACTCATCTCTTCTTTCTGCCTAGCAGTCCTGCCTAACCTCTTCTGCATAGCTATTGGCCAGTCAGCTCTTTATTAGACCAAAGATACATCTTTACAGGGTGCAAAAAGATTATTTCACAACAGCTTCAGATTTCAGTTTCCAGGATTTTTACAATGTTTGTGCATATTTTACTGTATGAGTATCCAATATTTTAGATATTAGAACAGGTTTTTTTTCTTTTCTTTTTTTTTTATTTTTCTTTGTTTTTTTTTTTAAAGATTTATTTATTTATTTATCATGTGTACAGTATTCTGCCTGCATGCATGCCTGCAGGCCAGTAGAGGGCACCATATTTCATTACAGGTGGTTGTGAGTCACCATGTGGTTGCTGGGAATTGAACTCAGGACCTCTAGAAGAGCAGGCAGTGCTCTTAACCACTGAGCCATCTCTCCAGTCCTAGAACAGGTTTTAAATTAAGGAGCTGTAATGCCTGGCAGAAAATGTGATCTTTAGGATCACAGTGACTGTTCATGGGAGTACAGCAGAGTAGGTAGGAATGAATTTATGAACCTGTTTACATACTCCGCATCTCACACATCCCCCCTGCCTACAATTCTTTTTTATTTATTCATTTTTCTTTTTAAGAGTCTCATGTAGCCTTGGCTGGCTGGCCTTGAACTGAACCCAATAGACTCTGACCTCCAACTCCTGATCCTCATGCCTCAGCCTCCCAATGAGTTCTGGAACTACAGACATGTGCCACTCAACTCCAGCCTTGCCTGGTTCTGTTCTGTTACTAGTCATACCACGTTGCTATGCCGATCGCTAGCTGTGTTTGAGAACTGACCATGTAACCCTGATAAACAGTGATATGGAACACACCATTCTTTAATGGATTCAAGTCTTGAGAAGGTAATAATGTAAGGTGCATGACTATTTACAGAGAAAGAAAATTTCATAGTTTTTCCTGATAGATGTTGCTAAGCAATGAAAAGTACTTGTAATACATGTTAAGAAAACAGCAGACCACTACACAAGTAAATCCCCAAGCCACACACCATCTGGTCACTCTGCAGGTCTACTCGTAAAGAAAGAAAGGCACAGATAGTACCTGCAGTGTCTCAGTGGCTGCTGTCATTACTGTTAGGAGTCATAGGAGCCCTTTCAGTGAAAGTCTCATTAGCTTAAGTTTTCTGTTTACCTTTGCCTGCTTTCCCAATTTGATCATTCTAAAAAATGAGCGTGCTGAATATAATTGTGTTAACTAGAAAACCACAAATTGTTCTGGTCATTGGGGTTGCGTTGTCTTGAGTGATTTATCATTTCAAACATTGAAGGCAGACGGGTAGTGGTGCGCACCTTTAATCCCAGCCCTCAGGAGGCAGAGGCTGACAGAATCTGTGAGTTGGAGGCCAGCCTGTCTACAGAGTTCCAGGACGGCCAAGGCTACCCAGAGGGAAAAAAAAAAAAAAATACAAGTCAACATAAAAAAGATGCAAAGGAACCAAGGCATGGCAGAAGTAGGAAGATACAAAAATTAACATTATTCCTCAAAGAAATGCATGATAAAACCATACAAAATTTTTAGCTTATCAAAATATTTTTTTAATAACAATACAAAAATTTTGTTAGTGGTGATGAATGGGTGCATTCCTGTTTGGGGAAGTGATGTAACGCATATACTTTGTACACCAACTTTTTTGGGGGGGTGGAGGGTCCTGAGTTTTCCCAAGTAGCCCAGGCTAGCATTAAACTCTCTGTGTAATAACTCAGGTTGGCCTCCTCCCTCCCTGGGATTACAGATGTGTGTACCTCAAAGCCTGGCTGTTTTGTTGTACCATAACATTTGTACCTCATTCAGTTTAGCTCTTCATAGTCCAGAATTTAAGACAGTTGAAAAACTCAGCTATCCTTAGTATCTTACATATCATAAATGTTCTAAAATAGAGCATATTATTATTGTGTTTTTACATAACCATCTACAACATATGATTAAATGAAAATACCATGTACTAAATTTGTTAGTATTTTGTAATTAAAAATGACTTATTTTATTAAAATTTATAACTTAAAAATTTATCTTAAACTTATACTTGGTTTTAGAAGACATTTTAAAACCTGATTTGAAAATCTTTTCATGCAGATTAGTTTGTTGGAAGCAGTAGTTTTTGTGAAGATATGCAGTATCTTTAGAATATTTGAAATATCTTTCAAAATATTTTATATTTTATATCTTTCAGAATATTTGAAAGGGGCTGGGTACAATTTAAAAAATTTTGTTTTGTGTTTATGTTAACATAATTGTAATTAAAATTATATTTATCTTTTTTGTATCTATATTAAGTAGATGCATCCATTCAACAGATATTTATTGATTCCTGCAATGTTTAAGACTTAGCACTGATGTGTCATGCTGAGCGAAATAGGTGTAGTCCTGCTAATTTCCAGTTCAGAACCTGGTGGGGGTGGGGCATGGACTTAAATAAGTACACAGTTAGATACATGGCACAAAGGAGACATTGGGAATGTTGGAGGAGAGCTTGTCAGGTTTTGTTTCTAGGATAGAAAGGGACAGTATGGGGAGTCTGAGCAAATGACATGATCTACATAGGAACAGTTCTCTGCTTCCTTGAAGAGAACAGATCTAAGATACAGGAACCACTGCTAGGAACCAGTGGCTGCCACAGACAAGACAGCTGCCCTGGACTAAGGGAGTCAGAATCTGCATCTGCATGTGTACTAGGGAACAACTGATGGGTGGTGGTGAGTGCCTGGATGTGTGACTCACTTTGAGAAGAGGTAAATGCTGTGATACTGTCTATGTACGTTTTCTGTAAGACCTTTTAGGATGCCTTGTTAGTGGATAACTGTCATTTTAAATAAACTGTTATTTCCTTAAAATCATCATACATGGCATTGTTTCAAAGGCTATGAACATCAACGTGTAGATGGCAAAGCACGTGCCTGCTAATGTATGTATAATCGGTAGACAGACAGACAGACAGATAGATGGATGATAGGTAGGTAGGTAGATAGATGACAGGTAGATGATATGATATATAATAGGTAGATAGATGATAGATAGGTGATAGATAAATAGGAGATAGATAGATAGATAGATAGATAGATAGATAGATAGATAGATAGATGATAGAGAATTGCTTTCCAAAAGGAACGTGCCTCATTTTATCATCAGAAATGGTTTAATTCTACCTGCAGCTCCTTCTTGCCAGCAGAGTGCATTTTATTTTGAAGTTTTATGTTACCTCACAGATGGAAAATATGATTCTTTAGCATGGAATAACTTTTCCTTATTCTCATACTGTGCTGAGTGAGTTTAAGTGACTTTATTTTGTCCTGACTTACTGAGGATATTAGTGGCTAACTATCTGGTGAACCTTCTTTGAAGGCAGGAAATAACACTCATTTAACATGTGAAATATAGGTGCTTTTCTTTGCTCCATCATTAACTAGTTTCCATGTAGAATCTATTTTAAATTGGCTGGACTTTGTTATTGTATACTTTGATAATATGATCATTTATTATTAAGTAACAATTTGTTTTTAGGATAATTCAAGTTTGTGAAGTTATTTTACTGGCTTACAGGGTAAAATTGGCATATTTTTCTGAAAAGGCTATGTGGGTCTTTGTCACATCATCTTTGGGGACTCTTGAGTTAATTTTAGTTTCTTTGGGTATGTGGGGGGTATTGAGACAGGGTATCATTATGTAGACTTCGCTTGCCTAGAACTTACTGTGTAGACCATGCTGGCCTTGGACTCACAGGTATCTGCTTGCCAGTAGCCTTCTTAATAGGTGCTAAATGGCATCTCGTGGTTTTGTTTTGTTTCTCTTAATGATGTCAAGGGCTTATTGGTCACTGGTCTGCTTTGAAGATTATCTGAAGTGCTCTGCCCATTTTGAATGGAGAAATATGTTGCTGAGTTGGGTATGTCCACCTTTTAAAAGATGCACTGTAATAACCCAGACTGTGTTTCTGCCTTCTCAGGATTCCTACAGGAAACAAGTAGTAATTGATGGAGAAACCTGTCTCTTGGATATTCTCGACACAGCAGGTCAAGAGGAGTACAGTGCAATGAGGGACCAGTACATGAGGACTGGGGAGGGCTTTCTTTGTGTGTTTGCCATAAATAATACTAAATCATTTGAAGATATTCACCATTATAGGTGGGTTTAAGTTGAATACAGAAGTTGACTTTGGGAAGTAATGATAGCTTCATTTATTGATTCTTTGCTAATTGTTATACCTGTATAATCTTTAAGTTTGAAAACATTTGTGCCAAGTATGCAGAATTCCAGTTTTATAAATGGAGTTTTTTATTTTTATTTTATTTATTTTTTTATGTTTTTGTACATAGGGTTTCTCAGTAGTTTTTTGGAGTCTATCCTGGAACTTGCTCTGAAGGCCAGGCTGGCCTCAAAGTCACAGAGACCTGCCTGTTTCTGCCTCCTGAGTGCTGGACTGAAGGCGTGCACCACTACCACCCGGCACAAATGCAGCTCTTTGGGGTTGCAGCGGTTGCATAATTTGTCCCAGTTTGTGCAGATGGTAGTAGTGCTGACTGAGAACAAGTTTCTGATGCCAGGGTCTTTTATACCCTGTTTCCCCACGCTAGAGAAATAGAACTGTAATGTTTTAGAGATCAGATACCAACCAGAAACAGAAGCATGGATAGTCTGTTTAAGATGGTGCCACTCAGACGATCTTTAAAAAAATCATATTTTATTACAGAATTTCATAGGGTGACTAAGCAGTGGCCTTATGTGTTTTTTTTTTTTTTAAAGAAAATACATTTAGATGGCGTAAGAGGTTGAAGAATTAGAGCTATTGCTGGTTTTTATGACTGACAAATGTATGTAAGATTGCTTAATCATTACATGAGATGTACTTTACATTCTTTCCTGGGACTACAGTAGTCATCACATTGCTGATTAAGCTGTGCCACATAACCATGAGCAGCTGGGTAAGAAGGAGCATCTCAGTGATGAGGAAGCGCTTCTCTGCAGTGGTGCAGAGAACACCTGCGGATATGAACCCACCCCACTGCTGCCAAGCAGCATTTTAGACATTCATGGAAAATTGTGAAGGAAAATTTACAATTTTATTCTAAATTTAGGATTTATTTACATGTTACATTGACAGCAACACATGAAAAGGACTCTTTAACAGATACACATTGTAGTTTCTTTGGTGTTGCTCTTCAGAGTTGGAGAGCTGGCTCAGCAGTTATGGACATGTGCTTCCTTTCTTGAGGATCCATGCCAGTCACCTCATAACCACTGCAGCGGCAGGGAATCCAGTACTTTTGGTCTCCATTGGCCCCTGAACTCACACACACACACACTCACTCTCTCTCTCTCTCTCTCTCTCTCTCTCTCTCTCTCTCACACACACACACACACACACACACACTCTCTCTCTCTCTCTCTCTCTCACACACACACACACACACGATTAAAATTAAAATCAGTCTTTCCAGTGATTATCTTTCTCTCTTGAGTAGTACAGTAGTCTCCTTTTCCTATAGTTTAATTCTTAGACATTTTGCTCATGTTCACCTAAATCTGAAAAATACTAAATGGAAATTTCTAGAAATAATGTAGCTTCTATTACATGTTGTTACAATTTTTATTTTATATAAGTCTCTTACTATACCTAAATTGTCAATTAGACTATATTATTGATATGTATATATGGGAGAAATAGTATATGTAGGGTTTGGTACTGTCCCCAGTTTGAAGCATTTGGTCAGGGGTCTCAGAATATTTGCCCACAGATGTCAGAGAAAGGTGTTGTGAAATGTCAAAGTTATGTTAATGCTGGTAATTCATGTTTGGGTAAAAACAAGGGTGAACTTATTCACAATACAACTTTGGCTGGCCTTGAACTTACTTTATAGATCAAACTGGCCTGGAATCAGCAGAGTTCATCCTGCCGATTAAAGACATGTGCCACCATACCAGTAGATGAAAACATTTTCAGTTGTACTATACCCATTTATGTATCATGTTTCTAAGACAATTTTAAACATGGTACTTTCAATTTGGAACTTTCCAGTATGTTTCTTATTGTATATACTCATGCAAATGAATCCTTTCTGCTGTAGTTGAGACTATCAGTATTTGAGTTTTGAATAGACATGTAAGATCTTTGTCTTAGAGGAAAGAATAAGTAAGAAAAGACAGGAAAATATGGTATGATAGAAACTAGGATTTATATGAAGAAATCATTCAGTCAAGTTCTGTAGGACAAAAGTTGAGGGCAAGGTTTGAAATATTTTGTGTTGCTCATGCTTCTGTTTCAAATTTGTTTTTTCTCCAGAGAACAAATTAAAAGAGTAAAAGACTCTGAAGATGTGCCTATGGTCCTAGTAGGGAATAAATGTGATTTGCCTTCTAGAACAGTAGACACAAAACAGGCTCATGACTTAGCAAGAAGTTATGGGATCCCATTCATCGAAACCTCAGCAAAGACAAGACAGGTGAGTGACTGGGGTGTGAATGCCAGCATGGCTGTTGTTGGGTGCCAGTCATTCAGTGTGATTCACCAGAGTATAAACAATGTTTATTTGGCTTCCTTGAGTGGACAGTACTTTTTATCCAGGGACCATGATATTATTTTGGATTCGTCCTCTGTCTGTCTCTTTCTCTTTGTCTCTTTTATTTTATTTTTTCCTTTTGTGATGGTGGGGATAGAAACAGGATCTGTGTTCTACATCCTCCAGCCTGGCCTTGAACTCTCAGTCTCCTAAATCTGTTTTCGGGGTGCTGGGATTATGGGTGTGTTCCACTGCCTGGTGTTTTGTTTTCTATTCATATTGAAATTTCCACATACATTTTACATTTAGGATTCAAGAAATGTGGAAAACATTTTCCTGCTTAAATGATACAGACAAAGAACGGTGGAATAAATTTTGAGTTTCCTATTTTAGAAGCAGTTTTAAGAATTCACGTTTCAGCTGGGCATGGTGGCACACACCTTTAATCCCAACACTCAGGAGGCAGAGGCAAGTGGATCTCGGTGAGTTTAAGGCCAGCCTAGTCTACAGAATGAGTTCCAGGACAGCCAGGGCTATACAGAGAAACCCTGTCTTGAAAAAAACAAAAAACCAAAACAGAAAGCAAACAAAAAAGAATTTATATTTCTAGATTAAATTTTATTGTATCTGAAGAGTTATATTTAGGGAGAAAGTTTTGAGGGTCTAATTCTTTAGGGAGAAAGTTGTGATTAAAATAAGGGAATATTTAGAAAGTGAATAGATAATTTTAAATTATCAACTACATTGTTCTGACCAAAGTATATGTCAGAACCTGAAGTTTGTTTCAAAATCATCTTCATTTTAAAACTAACTTTAAATTTCAGTTGATAATTACATCATTTGTGTTTGCAGTGGTAGTTTAGCATAAGGGAAAACGCATCCTAGGAGTGAGTTCATAAAGACCAGGGGAGACTGTTGTGTGCACTGAATGTTGAGTTGATTTGTAGTGCATGAATTTGCTCAGAGATTTATGGGAATGCCCATAAAATGGTTTTGTAAAGTTTAACTTCTGTGATGAAATTTTTTAAAATTGAGGAGCACCTCATTTCATCACGCTTAAGTGTATAAAGGTCATCACAGAAATGTTGACTGCATTTTGTGAAGGATGCAAAAATTTAAATTTCAAACATGCAGATGGATGGATAAATACAAAGAAAATTTCCCTAGGAGGTCATATGTGCCTATTCTTAGCTGTACAAATAGGGTGCATGTTGAAAGAAAACAGTGGATTCAGTTTGAAGTCTTTATTTGTTTTATAAAAAGTGAATTCTTGTAGTTTGAATGTCACATGGATATCTCCTGGGTTCCGGTCTGTGCAGCTGGCTAAGAGTTTACAGAGACTTGATGTGCCTCACTTGGATGATAGAGGAACCACTTCATTCATGTCCATCCCATGTTCTAATGACAGGAAGAGGCTTGATTCTATGTTTTATTTCCTGGTTTCTGACCATTCTCGTGGATTTTCCTCAAAAGCAGCCCAGAAAACATAATTATAATATCTATGACTTTCTTCTATGTTAGAAACACTTCTTTTGAAAGAACGCAAATATGAAATGTAAGAATTTTATTGAAAACTACTATATAGACTTTACCATTAACATTTGACTACTTGCATTGTGTAAACGTATGCAGAAAGATACCTTTCATGCTAGTGGTCCTTGTAGTTGACATTTCACAGGAAAAAGGAAAGCCCGAGACTGGGCTGCAGCCCAGAAGAGCCTCTCATACTTGATATGCACACAGCCCAGTGGGATGCTACGCTCCTTTGCCCTTTGGGTAGTGCTGGTGTGGGATGTGGGCCACAGCACAGTGAAAGGGTCTCCTGCTTACCTCCACCTCTCACGCAGAAGGAGCTTCCAATAACTGCATTTAATTTATTGTTTGTGTTTGCAGAAATGCTTTTGTGTACTATGGTTCATAATTGATTAGAACATTGTCTGACTTCCTTTTAAAGTAGCCTTTTAGCTTTAACGATGTTCTCTCTCTCTCTCTCTCTCTCTCTCTCTCTCTCTCTCTCTCTCTCTCTCTCTCTCTCTCTCTCATACACACACACACACTTTGTTCATTTTTGTCTTGTTTTTAATGTGTTGATAGTTGTACAGCCCAGGCAAATCTCAGACTCATTATGTAGCAGAGGCTGCCTCTACCTCCGGTATGCTGGGACTACAGGCGTATGCCACTGTGCCCAGCTTACTTGTCAGTGTAAAGTATGGTACAGAAGTGAATTCATTTAAATTTGCGTTTTAGATAGTGTGAGTTGTCTAACATGTATAGAGGTAAGATATAGTAGAACTTCTTAAGCAGTGCTTAGCATTTGTATTTATGTCTTTTTTATTGATTTTTTTTTCTATTTATGTCTTTTGTGTAATGTGTTTCTAAACTATAACCTGCTCTTCAGTGAACTAGTTGATTTGTTTAGAAATGTATTTGCTTTGAGAAGTCATTAATATTGCTTGAAATTTAATATTTATAAAGTTATGGAAGATTCTAAAGATTTTACTAATTTTAAAATTATTAATCTAAAATTTTAGTAATTTATAACATAGAATGTACATTTTAATAAATTTTATATCTCCAGTTTTTGTGAAAATTTTATGCTCCTTTTTAGGGAGTTTTGTTACTGTCTTTTATTTGCTTATTGTTTTAATTAAGTATACATGTCTATTGTATTTTGCTAGCAACTTGTTCATGAGCTTAACAAAAGCACCAAAAAAAAAAAAAATCTACTTATGGTCATAGGAACTGAACATTCATTTGGAAGTTCTCGCAGACTTAAGTGAAGGCGTGGCAAGCATTTTTGCAGAGGCGCAGATAGTAATGTGGTATCTTACACATTATTTTCCCTAAGAAGCCTTGATAATGTAAAACTCCTTGTCAGCTTATACCAGAACAATTGACCCTGCCTGCACTTGGCCTGTGCATGGTAATATGCGAATCTCAGCCTCTCTAGGTGACAGTTGATGAAATTGTTCTAGTAGTTCGGCCTAAAATCATATTTTACCATTTTAAAGCAAAATTTGTGTATTTAGTGAAAAATTGTATCTTATTACTTTTTCCCTCATTTTCTTAAGTCAGCAGAAGCACCTATATGGCACTAGTGGAGCGGCTGACTGGCTGTTTACACACATTTCAAACCATGTACAGGTGTACACGTGTATGCATATGAAATTTGAAATTTATGCCCTGGCATTGCTGAAGTGTGCATGGGCAGCTCCTATATGATGGTTCTGATGAGCTTGTCCATATTGGGTTTCATGGTCTAAGTTGATGAGGACAGCTGACCAAATCTCTTCCTCAAGAGGACACCAGATCCCATTACAGATGGTTGTGAGCCACCATGTGGTTGCTGGGAATCGAACTCAGGACCTTTGGAATAGCAGGTGGTGCAGGTGGTGCTCTTCACCTCTGAGCCGTCTCTAACCCCATTTTATTGCTTTGAAGATAAGGGTTGCAGAATATATTTTTACTGGTACATTATTTTTTAACTTTAAAATACACATTAACTTACCAGTAATGTAAGGATAAGTTGGAGATAGATAGATAGATAGATAGATAGATAGATAGATAGATAGATAGATAGGATAGATAGATAGGATAGATAGATAGGATAGCTAGAGATAGATTGTGTGTGTGTCTGTGTGTGTATTGACAGGGTTTTGCTGTGTTACCCAGACTGTTCTGGAACTCTAGACTAAAGTGATTCCCCTGCCTCCCCATCCCCAGTCCCTGGAACTACAGATGTGTGGCATTGAGCTTAGCTGTGTTCATGTCTTTATCTGAAAGGGCAAAGGGGCTCAGTTAAACTAGCTGGTGTGCTATGATGCCCCGGTATTCTTAGTCTTTAAAGAGTGCCACTTCACATTTATCAAGACACTTGGGAATTGACAGGCTTTTCTGAGTTCTGGACAGTGTGTCAGAAAAGGCTGTTGAGACTGAACACCTTGAGGATTACCTGTGAATTTGTGAAACCGATAAAGCCAATAGTCAGAGTGAGTGGGTGTCGGGTAGATGACAAGCAGGGTTTCAGAATAGCCCGTATAGCTTTTTTACGTTTGGTGGTCTTGCTTTTAGTGGTGTAAAAAGTAGTTTCCAAACTTTAAACTCACCCAATACTTATTAATTTCTTAGTTTGTTGTTAACTTCTAAATATATAAAATTAGTTGATAGAAAGCCTCTCTGAAAGAAAGCTTATAAAGCTGTTTAAGAAAGTGAAACAAATTTAAAACCTCAGGTGCCTAATCTAATAATTGCCCTCCCCCATGAGATAAGTGTTTTGAACTTTGAGTTAGAAGTGGACAGTTATTGAACCCTTGCTGTACTTCAGGAATCCTTACATGGGTTGTAGTTTGACAAGGTTTCTTGAGAAATGGGTCGGGTCTCTCTTCCCTCCCCAGAGGGCCAGGGTTGCTGCTTCTGTGCAGTCACAGTTGATGCTGCAGGTATGTCACTCCCTTGACGAATGATTCAACAGGAAAGAAGACACGTGATACAAATAGAATCTCTTATTGAGAGCAATGAAAAATGTTATGTTAGCAGGTCTCCAGGGGGTGCTCTGTTTTCATAGTCTCATCTGCTTTGACCTCAAACATTGTCAGATCTCTCTGTTTACACAGGAATACATGCTTAAACTTGGATACTCTTGTTTATACATAGATATTTTCATTTGCCCTTGGGGTTCACTAAGTGACATTTTAAAGTGTCAATAAGATATACCCTCAAGGACAAATCACTTATGCACCTTGAGTTTAGCAAGTCGTTGTAACTACCTTATATTTAAAAATTACTTCAAAGTTCAGCATATTAAAATCAGTATTCTGCATTATAGTCATGTACCTTATGTAGGATTTAGACCTAAGGCTGATGATGGTAGACAAGGTTACATAGCACTGTTGTTAAGTTCTCTTATGTCAGCATAACTGTGACACATATTTTCAAGGCATAAC